AATATAAAATTAAATCAATTGTATCTTCAATTAATACTACTACAAAACAACGATATTATGTTTAATTTTTACGCAAGAAAAACGTTATGGTTGTTGCGGATGAATTTCTACTGAGAGGGTGCGTTGAATGACATGAATCACATTTTGGGACCGATAACTGTAATACAAACAATCTTAAATACGGTAAAATAATTACAAAATAAACACGAATACAACAAGACTATAAAGATTGAATTTCTTAATCATTAGCTTTACTTTTACGATCTTCAATCCAATTTTAGCCGAACAATATGATATTGACCAGTAATGCCAGTATTACTGTATTTATCCATTTCCTCCATTTGTTTACCGCGCCTTATCGTAAGTCGATCGTACTTGTAACATTAGAGTCATGGTTGTAGTTAAGATGCAATCACTATACAACAGAACAACACTCTGACAATGGCAATTAATTAAAATAATTTATGAAACCCTTCATATGTCTTCGATTGACTGAAAAGAAATTAGATTGATATAGAGGATGGACATTTCTGACGATGTCTGGTCAATTCGAACCCTGACTCATTCGGACCAGGACACAAGGCTATCAGGCCCTATACTGTATTTGTGTTAAGACTATTTTTTTAAATTTTATTATTATGCTACTGGAGTCACTCACTTGACCTATTTGCAGATCTTTTGAAATTGTTTTTCTTGTTCGACGCCATTGAAGCCTTTCAGGCTTTTGATCTTTAATGAACTCAGCAATATTATACCAAGGTTCTTTAAATAGTTTATTGAACAATTAATTCACTCATCGACAAGTTCTCTAGTTCATTTTTGTCCCACTTTTCTCCTTGTGTTCCGTTTCAATCGGACAGCGTTTTGACTCTCTAACTGTCGCATATCCTTTTTCCTTTTGCATTTTGGCATTTTGAAGTTCAAAGTTCACAGCATTAATAACATGTGCCTATTCAGTGATCCATAAAATGTAAACAAGCTTCTGATACCACGTATCTATTGTTACACAGTTACTAGCATAGTTTTCCAACATTGAATATTATGATATATTAAAGCTGAACACTACTCGTAAAAAGGCATAGTCTGCCATATTTCCTGTTCTTCAACGCTCTCCCTACAACACCTATATAAGGAGCAGATCGCTAGTCAGTTCAATGTACTTCACTGTAGAGATATGACGAGTGTAGACGTACATCTTACATCTTACAATGCGTGCTACTCAATCTCGATGAAATTATCAAATTTTACATATTTTTTTCCAAAACAGGACAAAAGTATCATGAAAAATACAGGTCAATACATTATTTACAAACAGAAAATGCACATAAAAACAAGAAGTAAATGCAAAAAATCTAAGACCACAAAAGGAGTACTACATGTCAGGTGTAACGAAATCGAACTGTTTATATACCCATCTGACAGTGCCTATTTATGAGAAGTGTTCAGCTTTAAGTATCCATTTATGTTTGACGATTATTTAGAAATTCCATAGGAATCAAGAGATTTAAGTTCCATAACAGCCGAGATCAATGTAACACTGTTACTGGTACAATTTTATTATGTTTGTTCTTGAGCAGTTCTATGACCAAATGCATACATTTTTTCTTAGAACAGATCTAGAACAGTTCAATTACTCTTTCTGTTTCTAGTAAATATATGATATGTATACCATTATACTATTTATAAGTTTTGTTCAACATCAGTACCAATTTCAACACATTCAATTCGTTTTTTCACAACAGGATATATGTTCACAAGTTTTGCCTTAAAAGCTTTCAAGAGCTTAAACTTTCATTTTCTTATTCAGTTAAAACTGAATATTAATGATCATTGATAGGATGATTTGCAGACCTTCCTCTGCTCCATTTTTAAAAAATTAATTTTTTTTTAACCACATCCAAACTCATGCTACATTTGGTCATCATGGCTGTCTGAACAGCTGTCAATTTCACGCTATTGAAGCCTGGTCTTGGGGTTTCCCCAGAGTTAACAGGTTTTTTTTTTTACCCATTCTCGAACAATATAAGACTTCTTCATTTGTAAAAACTTTGTATACTAGAGTTCTGAGAATAGTCAAAATATTGGCTGACAAATGTTAAACACATTTCATTAAGTCATAGCTGGATACTCAATCTCTTTGACTTGAAGGAGATTCAGCTTTTCCAGCTTTAATGAGGCCCAATCTAGTTGAAAATTATGAAAATGGAATGATAAAAAATTTTTATTTTTGGAAATATGTTTGTATGTTTTATGCAAAGAAAAATTAGAATGAAATTTTGTAATACCTTGCCTTTATTGTAGTCAAATTAGGGGCACTGTCAAGATATGGACCATTTTTCATGTTTTTATATACAAATACATACTAAAACTCTCCAATAAACAAAAAAAATGACAAATTAAAAAAAAATAGATGATGAAATGTTTTGTTTTTTACATATATATTATGCAATTTTCATTCTTCTAATAAAAAATGAAAAGAAAATTGAAGGTAGCCTTTATTGCAGTGAAAAGGGGGCATATCAAAACACAAAATTAGGATTTATTTTATCCAACTAGATATTTTATAAGTCGCAATGGGTTTACATAACATCATCACACAATTGCAATACTGTATAAGTTGCTAATTTTCATTCTTCTAATAAAAAATGAAAAGAAAAGTGAAGGTAGCCTTTATTACAGTGAAAAGGGGGCATATCAAAACACAAAATTAGGATTTATTTTATCCAACTAGATATTTTATAAGTCGCAATGGGTTTACATAACATCAACACACGATTGCAATTCTGTATTAATTTCTAAAAAATAAATAATTCTTACATTATGAAATAATTTTCCCTCCATTCTTTATTTTTCTTAAAACGCAGCGTTGGTTTACGTGGAAAAAAGGGGGGGGGGGGGTAAACGCGACAAAATTACAAATTTTACGAATATCATGTAATATATAGAAAAATAAAATATTTCAAGGGTTGCATTTAAGTGATTCATAGACTTATTTTTTTCAAACCAAAGCTTATCCATGTATATTTAAGTTCTCAAGAAAAAAGGCTTTGTATAAACACTTCAACATGTTCAAGGAGAAAGACTAAAATCGTATACTTTTGGTTGCAGTGTGTGTTTTTTAACCCAACAATTTAAATAAAACAAGATAAAAATTAATGAATCTGTTCCAAGAAATTAATACCTTAAAATGAATTATGTTCAAAAGTTGTTTATTAATTAAAAAAATATATTTAAAAAACATGTAAATAATAGAAATACCAGCTTTCAACATGCACAGTCTATAGAGCTACCAGGTATCCAAGATCAGCGAAACATTTTAGCGCAATTTGACGTCATTTTAATTGTGACATTATTGTAATCAGTTGTGACGGCAGTCAAAGGTACTGTGACGTGCCTGAGTCGACGCTGCATTAAAATCATCATGAAGGAGATCGGGCCTCGTTAAGCTTTTTCTTTAGACTCCGGACCTCCTTCTCTAGACTGGATCTTTCCCTCCCACTTTCGTACATGATTCTTTTGTGTTTACCAAAAGCAGATATGAATTCACTTATTGTCAGGTTTTTATGAAGACAGGGGTCTACAGTCTCCAAAACATTGAGGCCCATTGTAATCTCTGACACTGACTTGTTCACCTCATATTTAGGATTGAGAAGACCAGCTATTGGTTAACATCTTTGCCTTCCTAAATTTTCGTTTTAGAGAATTCGATACGATATCTAATTGTGGTAAGCATTCGGCAGATACGCCGAATGGAGTTGCTCTTGAAGACCCACCTACTAGTGAAGTTCCCTGGACTCTAGCGCCGTTTCCTAATTCCATCAATGTAGTTGAATTTCTCACCATTTCTAGCTAGAGTGTACAGTGTCTTATCTTCTTGATGATCATTTTTAGCCAGGTTCAACACAGTTTTTTGTAAGTCCTTGATATATTCTTTTGCTTAGTCCATAAGGTTGATTGTATGTTGTCAGACTAGGGCTGCGCCATACATGGGTCTATCAGTCTTTCTTACACTGGGAAAAAGAAAACATTGCACTTTTCTGAATTTCAAATAATCATTTGTTCCTTTAAACATGATGGTTGAATTTTCTTGATTTGTCATGCAGCCATACTATATACAGGGAAATTTTTGCTGCAGTTTTTTTTTTTGTTTCTTTTCGCTCTTACCTCGGTTGGGCGAATTTAAAAAAGGGCAAATTGAAAGAATACAGTATAGTTTCTTAAACAAAACAAAAATGTGACTGGGCGAATTTAAAATGGGGCAAAATTATTTGCAAGTGTGTAAGGGCGAAAATAAAGCGGGGAAAAAATAACACTAAATACAGAATTCAATTCCAAAGATGAGACAATTGCCTTTTTTTAAACAAGGTGTCTATAAATTAAATTATAAAAATTATAAAACTAAACAAATTTTTTGTTCATGTGAACATGACACCTTCTTTTGGTCCCCATGTGCATGGATTCGTGTCCAGGAAAGTTCTCTGCCTGGTGGACCACCTCAACATTTTCAGCTGCTTTCCTTTTTCGTCTGGAGAAGCCCGCAATTAGATGGTGAACAAGCTCCAGCCTAAACGCTACGTGTATAAATCTTTTCCTTGTATTTGGTCGGTTTGACGTTTTGCAGAACAGAATGAAGGAATTTACCACTGCACAATTCATCAGGAGAGAATACCGTAAATCTGAAAATTTTTGCTGTAGATAAATTTTTAGCAAATTTGCAAGTTCATTGCATATGCAAAAATATTTTTCTTAAAAATAAAATACCAATAAGAAAATGTAAACAAAGCAGTGGTTATTCGCAAAATTTTGAAACGTAAAAATTAATCAACACCATTTTGACACGAATTTGCAAAATAAAATCGACGTAAAAATTTAGAGATTTATGGTATGTCTACTTCCAGGCTTTTTTACTGTCCCTTCCTAGAGGATACTTCAGTCTCAGCTGATCATGTCTGTCCAACCATTCATGTACTTATTGTACCCATTGGCAGCATGGGGTTGTGTCATATGCAGTTCCTGACTTCCATGCTGCCTGGTGACGGGAACTTGTCTACGACGGTCACTTGGGTGCTTGGGAAAGCCACTGGCTTTTTGTCCTGCCAGACAGAAGCAGTAAGGTTTCCTCTCTGTCTGGTCTGTGACTGTTCCCTCTGTAATCTTAGTCTGCCTTTTAAGTCATCAGGAAACCCTCTTCTATTCATGCGCACTGTGCTGCAAGCATAAATATTTTCGGCGAGCAAGTCCTCCATGAGTTTGATGCTGGTGAAATAGTTGTCAAAGTATAAATGATGGTTTTTTCCAGTGATGTCCCTGGATAATTTTGTGATGACGTCATGTCCAAGGCCATGTTCTGACACGGCTTCTCCCTTTCCTAAGTATATGTTGAAGTCGGTAAGAAACGCATTCTCCGAATCGCACCTCATCCAAACTTTTATGCCTCTCTTGATTGGCTTAGCAGGGAGGTATTGCTTGTAAGAGAGTCTTCCTGTCCATTTAATCATAGCTTCATCAATGGCCATGCTTTTGTTTGGCTTGTAATTTTCAATGAACTTTCTCTTTGTCATTGTAAGGACTTCTCTGACCTTGAATAATTTGTCAAAGTTTCTGGATCCCCTGGCTGGCTCGCTTGCACGATCACTGATGTGAAAATATTCTGTTATTTTCTCGTACCTCCTCAAAGTCATAACAGATTTAACTCCTTCATTGCCAAGATACACATCTTTGGACCAATAATCCTTATATGAAGGCAGCTGATTGATGCCCATCAAAATATTAAGTCCAAGGTAAGCCTTCATTTCAGCTTCGGTGATTTCGTACCATACATGGTCCTCCTCGCCCTTCTGTGCCATTTTCCATCTCGCATAATTATTTGTGTGGCAAACAAAATCTGAAATACTGTCTGGCCTAAACATAAAATCAAAGCAATCCTTTGTTGGGCTGTATCCTTGTCAAAATCGTCCGGGAATATTGGTCCAATGCCCTCCACAAACGGGTCAACACGCACGCCACGAGGGTTCTCTGTCCATTCATTGTCATTTTCTGGCTCTGATTCACTGGAACTTTCTTCTTCACTACTAGATTCCTCGGGAATATATATGTCTGATTCGGCATCTGAGAAACCCTCAAACTCATCTAAATCATCATCTGAATTGAAATAATCACGCAATATCTCTTCGTTTGTTGGTAGGTCCGCCATTTTGAAATATCAACTTTCGCTTTAGTTTCCATACATGGTAAAAACCGTCTTTATTAATAGGTACACGTGATATTATGACTACACATACTTTATTTTTATAGACCAATAGTATCGCTTCAATTTTATGCCTACCCCAAAGTTGTCAACGTCATAGTCTCGTTTTCATACAGTGTTAAAATAAGGAGACTTCAACAGGCGCTTGTGAGGAAATCCTGTCCAAGCGTCAAGAGACGCTAGTGCGGAAATAATGGCGAGGCGTCGAGAGGCGCTAGTAAGTGGGAAAGAGTTAATGACTATGAGGTAAACAGTCAAACTATTGTCCCGAGATAGTGGGGAGGACCTGGGAAACTGTTGCCCGAGGCCGAAGGCTGAGGGCAACAGTTTCCCAGGTCTTCCCCTCTTCCGAGGGACAATAGTTTGACTGTTTCACCGAGTAGTCATCAAATAAGTGTTTTATTACCTAACCTACTATATATAATCAACTAAACTGGAATAAAAACTCACAAACAACCAATAAAGAGTTTTAACAACTGTTTATCCACATACCAGTCTATTAATTAGCTGAACACGGAATGTAAAGATTAAATTAATATTCAAATTGATGGTTTTTGTGTTTTATTCCAATTTAGTTAGTTATATAGCAGGTAAATAGTGATGTCGTGATCATCCAAACGCTTGAATATCACCATGACGCTTTAAACAGGCAACAGTTCATTCTGTGGCCCGCTCAACAGTTCGACTGTTTCATGATCACGCAAAAACATGAAATGAATCGTGAAACAGTTCAAAATGCCTAATTACAATTTATATAGTAGGTTAGGTAATAATTGTCTTTGTTTTATCCCAAGAACATGTGCACTGTCACTAATTTTTTCACCTCTTAGGATAGGATGTGGATTCTCTATAGAATGGCACAATTTTCAACATCAGATCCCTTTGAAAGTTTTGTTTCAGCTCTGGCATTTTTTCAATAAAATAAAAGACACCCTGGTAATAATCTGATTATCAATATTGTTGAGTTCCTCTTGTTAGTTTTAGTATAAATCCATTCTTGTCCTTGAAAGGGAAACAGCTGTGTGTGTACAGAGGACCTAAACATCTGTAGTCGTTTTCACAAAAAATCTTAAGTTTTTGCTTACAATTTTAACTTATGAATCTCTTACGACAAATACTGTGAATTGTTTTAATTCCACGGTGTTAAAATTTCACGATATCTCAAAATGTACCATTTGCGATGGTTTTAATTTCACGCTGCAAGAAATTAATTCAAAATTTCCTATAAGCAATTTAATATTATTAAAAACTAATGATAACGTTCACAGTGGGGTTAATTTCGCAGAAAATTAATAAACCGCGAACATAGCGAAAATAAAACCATCTTGAATATTTGCCAATCTACAGTATTAAGTGTTTTTCATGAAGGCATTCAGAGCCTATTGAACTTAAGATTTTACTTACGACAGACTTTGTCCTCAGGAACAATCTCAATATGCTTTATAATTTATAATAAGTGGATGAAAATAAAAAATATAGCTTGGTTTTTATCATTTTTCAGCAAAACAAATGTTATTGACAAGAAATAACAAGTGCAATCAATTATGAAGCAAGAAGTTTGAAATTTGATGACGTCACAATCACAAGTCTGACGTAAAAGTAGGCCATAAGAAAATCTTAAGTGAAACTTTGATTGTAAATATTTTGTATACATGTGATTAGTTCTGGACCTCAAAACTTGGTACACGAGTATGGCACGCCAAATTCACAAAAATGAGATAAACGTAGTTTCACATTTGATAAACTAGGTTTATCGACTGTTAGTAAACTATAGTTTACAAACCGTAAACTATAGTTAACGATTCGTTAAGTATAGTTAACGATTCGTTAAGTGTAGTTTTCATCTGTAAAACTATATTTAACGGTTGATAACTATAGTTTACGTATGATAATCTAAGTTTATCAGTCTCTAATAAGCGTTAACAATAGATTTTGTTGATAAACATAGATTCATGTTTGTAAACTATAGTTTACAATCGTAAACTATAGTTAAGAGTTGTTAATCATAGTTTCACAAATCATGAAACTATATTTATCAGATCGTTAACTATAGTTAACGGTTTGTAAACTATAGTTTACAAATCCTGAAACTGTATTTATCAGATAATCTATGTTTTGCAATCACAAATGATTGTTTTCAGTGTTAAGTATAGGTTACGGTTGTGAAACATAGATTATCGCGTTAACTATGGTTTACGGATGTAAAATATAGATTAACGTTTTTTTTCTATAGTTTACAGTCGATAAACTATAGTTTACAATCGATAAACCTAGTTTATTGACTGTGAAACTATGTTTAGCTCATTTTTGTGAATTTGGCGTGCCATACACGAGCCATAAAAAATAATAAACTGGAATTTGAATAAAAACCTGTACAAAGCTCATCAAAATAGGTACAAAAAGTGGTACTAAATAACAAAAAACCTTGAATAAGGATTAAATTTATTACATAATTTCAAATTAAGAAAAATTTTACTGGTTACAAGCAACTTAAGCATCTTTCAGAATTTCAGTAGGGGGCTCATATTCACAGCAATCTACAGTATGTTAAATTTTATACACAGGAGACTGTCAATTGTATCATATGACAGTCTTTGCCTCCAGTCTGTATTTTCTGCAAGTAAAATTGGTGCTGCAAATCATGCAGAAAACATGATGCACACTTATTGCACTAACTTTTGCCCCTGGAAAATCAGTACCCCATGTCGGATTGAACTTTGTTTTCCACCTATCACCATCACTTAGAGATGGTTCAAACTCATGTCTTTTTCTTTTAGACATCTCTCTCAAACTGACAAAATTCTAACATGTTTCAATAACAATTAAGTCGCCCAGTAAAACACAATTAACTCAACACATGGAAGAAATTTTAAATATGTTTTATGGACAAAGTAATTATTGTGGAGAACAGTTTCCACCTTCTAGCATGGTGTTTTGTTTACAGTAACCAAGCACAGTAAGACATGCATCGCGAGAGCGAGAATTGAAAGAAAAATGGCAGATTTTAGGTAACAGTTCAAATTACTGTACAACAATTCATTTCCTGTGAATTTTTGAGTTTTTTATGAATGATAAATCTGCATTTGGGACTTTTGGGGGGAATTTCTCCACTTTCCAGCATTAGTCAACCAATTATATTTCATATTCTATACACATTTTTTAACCAATCTGGATTGGATTTAGAGGTCGATAAAATAAACAAATTGGTTAAAGAATGTGTCTAGAATTAGGGAGTGAACGGTAGTTGAATGACCAATACTGAAAAGTGGAGAAATTCTCCCCAAAAGTGTGCAATAAACTTTTTGCCAAAAATTACACTTTCTTTGCATGACGGGATCTGTAGCGTTATGGTCAAAGACTAATATATTAAACCATAATGCTACAGTTCTGCTGCTACCTTCTTATAATCTCCTGTGATCTTTACAGTTGCGTTGACCCTTTTATGGTGGTCTACTGCTATTCTGGCTTGACCCAGTAAACAAACTGTTTGTTCTAACAAGGAACACATATGAGTTACACCGACATTGTCTACTTCATAAAATTTTCCATAAGCAGCACGCAAATTCTCCAAAATACTCCATACTCGTACAAAAAATTTCAGGTGGAGAACAGGTTGAGAGTATAGATGGAATCCATCTGAATAAAGCTTTGTAAAGCAATATGATGCATAGGTGGAATACAAGCAAAATTCAAGCGGAATAATTAAATATAAACAAGTTAACTATTAATTGGTAAAGAAACATGTCCTTCTGGTGGAAAATAATTTAATTCGTCTGCTGTTGCACTTTTTTTGGTAATTCTTTGCAAAGGATTTGATGAATGAGATTTAAAAGGCAATGCACGAAATTGTTTGTAAATACTCATCATGCACATTTAATGTATAAAATATAAATGATGAAAAAACAAAAACTCTCCAGAATTGGATAAATAAACAGGAAACAGAAGAGGTTTAGCTACCTAGAGACCCATCACTGAGAGTATACATGCATAAATACTGTAATAATAGAATGTATTCTTAAATATACACATTTGAATTATGTATTTTAAAAATTTACTGAGGATTAAAAATATTTAAAAATGCAAATAAAGGCTGCATAATTAGAAATGCAACTCCTGTACTCACCTACATGTAGGTTAATTTCTGTTTTCATACAGCTGCTTATAATTATAAATAGGAAATGGATTGGCACTATTTTCTACAAGAAAATATAGCTATTACTATAGTAGAATCCAATGACCATGACATTTCAATAAAAATTCATCTACATTTAATCTACATCAATGCACTTTTATTTTTTAGAATTATTTTGTCATTTTTTGGTTCATTAATTCATAATTTGTTGCTCTGGTCGTTTCAATTCTGTTAGTAGTCTCTGGAGTACTCGGAGGCACAATCACGGCATTTGCGACGTCCTCTTCCCTGGATTCAATGCTTATCCGGGCATCTGCGTTCACAGGGGGTATTCCTCGATTCTCCAGATACAGTTTCTTCATTACGACTTCCCCAGTGTTGGCAGGGACACGAATACCCAGCTTAGCCAGTTC